ATGGAAATTATGGACCAGTTTTGGCGTGGTTGTGTTTAGATGGTCTCACACAAGTAGAATTGTGTTTAGATGGTCTCACACAAGTAGAATTGTGTTTAGATGGTCTCAGAAAGTAGAATTGTGTTTAGATGGTCTCACACAAGTAGAATTGTGTTTAGATGGTCTCACACAAGTAGAATTGTGTTTAGATGGTCTCACACAAGTAGAATTGTGTTTAGATGGTCTCACACAAGTAGAATTGTGTTTAGATGGTCTCAGAAAGTAGAATTGTGTTTAGATGGTCTCAGAAAGTAGAATTGTGTTTAGATGGTCTTATACAAGTAGAATTGTGTTTAGATGGTCTCACACAAGTAGAATTGTGTTTAGATGGTCTTATACAGACAAGTTTTAAACATACCATCCTGGGGTGTTTACAAGACACGGGACAACACACGACTAAAAAAAAATATCGAACTACAACTGGCTAATGAACGATTCAAAATATCGAACTGGAACTAGTTGAAATATTGGCCCGAATGTCATAGTGACACCATTACATCATGACTTTAAAAAGTCTCAAGATGATGCTTTATTTACAATATTCAGTTGAATGTGATAGGTTCGGACACGAGAATATGAGAATTTGAAAGACTAGGGTATCGCTAGGTTGTAAATTGTAGAACAAACCAGATCTACGAGCTGAGCAGACGTATCGGGTTTACCAGCAGACGTGTGGCTCACATTCTCCTGCACTGCCTTATGTCTGGCCAGCACGAAGTCTCGGTAAAATCAATAACCCCAGTCTGGCCAGGCAACTGTAATCGATCAACGAGACGGGGTTATCTCACCCATGACGTCATATTTGGACAGGGTCTTAAGTAGTTTCGTTATCCAACTGGTAATGAACGGCCTTGACATTCGTTTGTAGATGGCGCTCGACGCACACCCTGATGGAGTAGCGGCACGGGGAGGGGGAGGTATCTATTTGATGGCACATCCCATGTTTAACGAAACATCACAAACTGGAACATCATATGTTTAACGAGACATCACAAACTGGAACATCACATGTTTAACGAAACATCACAAACTGGAACATCACAAAATGGAACATCACGCGTGGAGGGGGGGGGGGTGTACTCCCAGGATGTCAATTTTTCCTTCCATACAAACTAATAGCCTGCCCTGGGTGTCTAGGTATGAAGCATATACGGCTATGTGCTGGATATATTTACCGACACATCCCATATATTACATAATATTTGCCATGGCCAGAGAGAGCCCAATACAAAATACGTAACTTGAGTGGCCAACATTTGCAGCATCACCCCCCCCCCACCCCATAATTAGCCAAGAGCCCGTGTAAGCATCATGGTCAATCTGCCCTGTCCAGGTCCCACACGTGACACGAAAAAAAAAACAACACATTTCGACAAACGAGTACCCTAACAAATAACGGACAAATCTGAACTTTCATTTCAAGTTCGGACATAAGCTCCTCTCTAGAGGTGTAATCGACTAACATTAACACATTATTTAAGATGTGGATATCGATACCCAGCAGGCGCCAAAATATCGAAGTGGGACAACAGCTGGTAGATAATCGATTTCTGTATTAGTCACCAGCAAGGGTCGTGACCTTGACGTGTTGGTGTTTTCACCGGGCAGACGACAAAAAGTTAATCACAAAGATGGCCCATCAGATAAACTTCGTGTCGCCTGGGGTGAGCCCCCCCCCCCCCCCCAATCTATCACACTAAACATCAAACACCAACTGCCCATAACATTGTGTTATTGGTCTCTTGTTCGCACGCAATTCTCTATAGTCTATAGGTTACTTCACAACGAGGATGACCCAGGTAAAACTCAATATAACGAGAAAAGTATATTATTATTATATACAAAACCTATCAGGGAAAATGTTTTCGAAAACATAAGATTTCCCTCTTTCTTATTTTAAGGTTAAAACTTATGGTTGATGTAATGAATACAAATTTTGAATTAACTAAAAGGTCAAATGGTGGCAGTCCATAAATGACGTCACATTCCTGAAGTGTGTGTGAGGGTGGGGGCTTTTTATGTCCAGGAAGTGGGGTTTTGTGGTTCAAATAGTGTGTCGTCACAATTTTCCTTTTTTTTTAAGTGATTTTTTTAATTTAATTTTTTGAATTATTTTGAATACGTTAAAGATTTTTTTACAAATTGTAATAAAAATCAATCTATATACAAAACTGTTGACTTTGCTCAGTTAAAAAAAAAAAAACTATAAGAAAAAAGCAAAACTTCAATTTAGGCTTAAATGTGGCGTCATTTTTTTGTGTGACAATGAATTCGGGAGGTCTAAACCACTAAAAAAAATAGCGACCCCTAAATAGGAACAATATTATTTTAAAATGTGTTTCTCAAGTAAAACTTACAGCCAATCACCTGATCTGTGTATGGTCACGTGATCTCCATATGATCACGTGAGGACCGTAAAAATATCAAGTCGACACTAAGCAGTCAAACCGTGACATGAAATAGCCAGAAAATAATAAAGATACCAATCTGGAGTACCATAAACTTTAAAAGAAAAAAGATAGACATCTGATACACCATACTAAGAGGAGTCGTGTGTCTACTGGGTCTTGGTAGTGGCGTCACACAGTCGAGGTGGGAATGTGATCCGCACAGGGAGGCACTAGTTAAGGGGTGATCCTATTTAGGGGTGACAACATTAGAGGTGGCAAGATATAGGGGTGACAACATTAGGGGTGACAACATTAGGGGTGACAACATTAGGGGTGACACCATTAGGAGTGACACCATTTGGAGTGCCACCTAATAGAAAAATCGCAAAATTTACAAATTAACCTTAGCCATGTTGAAATAATAAAATGGTACTGGAAGGGTGTCACTGAAGAGGAAATACAAACAATGTTGGGTGGGGGTAACACCCCGAGTTATCTTGACTGGGTGACACCACACCTAGCGACGCCACTGCTAAATAACTGCTTAGCTCCAACTGCTTTGCGTTTTAATTTTTAACTGCTAGGAGCAATGCTGAAGGCGGAATGGAGATCGCGATTTTTATTGATCGCAATTTTTATTACACGTTGATGATCTGTCAAAAGTTAATTCATATTTTTACAGTCATATCTACACATGCGCGTGGAGTCGGTAAATGCTTTAAGTCAGCATAATAATATATACCACGAAATGTCCCTCAGCACATATACCACGAAATGTCCCTCAGCACATATACCACGAAATGTCCCATGTTTAGCACCTAAAACTTTACAAGGACAGCATATATACCATGATATTCCATATATTAAACATTTAAAAACAAGGTGCCGAGAGTTTTTGGGGCTGGTCGGTTATCTAGATCTACATCCTGATATAACGGTACAGCAAGTTGAGCAACCCACCCAGAACCCAAAGATTTTATTATCGTCCCCGAACATGTTGGTACGGCTAATCATAAGAACATTTTAGGGTTGACATCTCTCCCCCCCCCCATCCAAACATAGTTTTCGTCTTGTAGGAACTTCAAATCATTATTTGATCGTCACAAAAATAATTTTAAGCCCCCCCCCCCTCCCCATCATGTGCACCAAGCCTGATGTTAACATTCGAGCGTCACAGAAATCAATTTTTTAAACCACACCCCAAACACCAACATCAAACAAAAGAGCAGTCCATTCTTCACCATTCATCAAACGAGTTGGTTTACGTACCCCTCCCCCCCCCCCCCCCCCCCGTCATAAAATTGTCTCGCGTGACTGAATGTAGCAACGAGGTGTGAATCAAAAATGAAGTGAACCCCGAAGATATTCTATAACCAAATCGATACGCGTGTCCACAAAACGTGGTCTAAATACCGACTGTCAACAAATAATACGAAATCAATAACAATTTACATTTTTTGTCATGTATGTGTCAGATGTCAGCATATTTCAAGCTTTTATAGCTGTAGAAATATGTGGGCTTTTATTGGCGAGATCAATGGGGAACTCTTGGGCTTAGAACATAAAATAGGAACTTTTGACGTAATTGATTCAAAATGAACACCCACCCATAACAGAGCACATTTTCGTAGAAATGAGCAATTTACCAGACAGAAACAATAATAAAATGTTATTAATACAAAATATGTATATTGATTTCATTGTATCTATTTATAAGTGATGTGCACCTTGAACTTCTTGAAATTTTTTACTTTGTTCCTTGCACGTAAATTTATTTTACAAGAAATTACACACAATTTGTAATATTTGTCTTGTCCCACACAGGCATATCGAAAGTAAAGTTATTTATAATTTAAATATGGGCAATATAAGACAGTTGAGCAAGGCACCATGTACCCCCACCCCTAGACTAGTCACAAGGTAACACAAACCCAAACTCCTAGCGTTTCATGCAGTGTTTCTTCCAGACTTTTTTCTCCGGGGGGGGGGGGGGGCACTAGAAATTTTCGGGGGGGGGGGGGGCGGTAGACTTTCTTCGGGGGGGGGGGCGGGACACTGTTAAAAGTATATATTTTCTATATAAATTATATAAATTTCATTTCGTTCGGGGGGGGGGGGGGCGGTAAAAAATTTTCGGGGGGGGGGGGGGGGGGGGGGGGCGAAGCCCCCCCGAAGAGATACCTGGAAGAAACTGGTTTCATGGCGTGACTAGACTGAAACTGAAACATCAAGTTTACGTTATCTTTGCTCTGGCTAAATGACCATTTTCAACGGACAGAACATCGCCGTTACTAGATTCTATACATGTGTTAGTGTTAGCGTTGGTTAAACTGTCCGAGCTACTAATCAGGCTAAACAGGGCTTCTTTAGATCTAAAATATTTTTTTTAAATATCTCAGTAGCAGACGACACAACTTGCTCTAACCCGTGCACAACGCAGACGCCAGTGCAAGTATTGATCCAGATGTGTTGCAGACTACACGATCCGCCGTGTTGTGTTCACTACACGAACACCGCCGTGTGTGTTCTACATGCAAACTTGTAGACACGGACAATAAAAAATCTACTCACCATTTACAGTCCACAAACCAGTGTCCCAGTTCCAAAGGCCACTAAATCCAACCAATCGCTAGTTAGGAAAATATTCAATGCGATTCTGCTCCAAAGCGCAGTTGTTTGATCACATTTAATGGAATCGAATACTGTTAACATGAAAATGGCGAATCCAAGTACGAGTATAAAAAACTTGCAGACTTCGATCCGTCTAGTGACGTCAAGTCTTCATACAAGTCTGGCCGCCTACCCAGTCTTCACTGCGCAACTTTTTAATGTCGCTTCTGTCGTGTTGTCTCAACTATTTTGTCTGCACTATTAACATCTGCGCTTCACACATTTTTTTAATGCGTACTTTTAAAGAAAAAAAGATTTTCGTTTGAAAATAACCACGCAAAACATACGTTGAATATCTACTGTTAAAAGACCGTATATAATCCGATAACTAATGCAGAGGGCGTAGCGACCCTTCCCGGCGCCCGGGGACATACTTTCAATTTGGCGCCCCCTTGGGAGCAAATTTTCGATTTGCACCCCACCCCTCGAACTTTTCATTTGCACCCCCCCTCAAACTTTCAATTTGGCGCCCCCCCCCCTAAGGTCGGCGCCCGGGGACATATGTCCCCCCCCCCGCCCCCCCCCCCCCTCGCTACGCTACTGAACTAATGTAGCCAATATAACGCCAAAATAAGACATTTATTTTTTTAAACCGCCATTCCATACACCCCCACCCCCCCCACTCAACAATGAACTACAAAAAGTTTTGAACATTTGTATTTAGTGGGACTCACTGTTAATCATGATTTTACTCAGGATTTTTTTAAAAATAATGATAGATCTACCCACAAACACACATACAGTTTACTCAGGAAAATGTTTTTAAAATAATAATAGATCTACCCACAAACACACAGACATACAGTGCCTGTAAATCTTCTGGAAGTGAAACAGTAAACGAGAGGCAGAAGTGTTTGAAAGAATCAGATAATAACACAATTGTTACCAAACACGACTCTTGACCACCCCCCTCCCACACGATATAACAACATGATATAACAACAATATAACCACCACCCCACCAGTTTTGTCGCTTGCTTTGTGTTAAACATGCTCATGTATGCATGACATCAAACAATGACTCAACCTCCAAGCCAAGTCTTAGAATTAGTAATAACTACAGCTAATGTATTGCTATCAGCAATATGCCCCCCCCCCCCTCACACACGTTAAGAGCGGTTAGGCTAATCGGTTAGAACCGAGTCAACAGACCGACTAATCTAAATTCAACTATTTTTAAAACCAATATTTACCGTTGATAATATTTAAATATTGACACCTGTCAATGGTCCTGGCTAACGCCTTATGTGACGTCATCACTGTTTAACAGGGGTCAGGCTTGGAATAAATTAACCAGTCCGACCTTTGACCCGGGTCTAAGAATTTTGGGCGCCATGAGGGGGAGGGATGTTTAAAATATTGAGGCAGGTCCACAGATGATGTTCAAGCATAAATCTTCAACCCATCACACACACAGACACATTCACAGATAGAGAGAGACAAACACACACAGAGACATACACACACTTAGACACAGAAACACACAGACGCACACACACAATCACACACACACGTTTCAAGTTCTCAGCTTATCAAACCATAAAACAAAATCAGCAGTGTGCTACCCAGGCTACCTGTAGCAGGCTCAGTGCACAGAAGAGTAGCAACCAGCTGCCACACAGGCCATAAAAAGCTGCTGATGATTCGAACAAAGAACACCAAACACCAAATATTAATAACAGTGTCATTTAAACCATTGGCCCTAAACCAAATACTATTTTCACACCTAAACCCCAGTTGTTGTTTTTTCTTCTCATGAGACGTTACAGTGTGTTTTCATTCATGCTAACCATTGGTAATAGGTAACACTAACCAGTGGCGTCACTAGGTCCAGCGTTTACTGAAGGTGTCATCCGGTGCGGTAACGGATGGCGTCACCCCGTGAGTTAACGGATGGTGTCATCCGGTGCGGTAACTGTGGTGTGGTAACGTATGGTGTCAGCCCACCCATCGAACGTGTGTGTGTGTGTGTGTGTGTTAACGTAAGCCTATATTAAATCTGAAGTATGTGAACATATAGGCTTACGTTAACACACACACACGTATGTATATATGCACGCTTGCTCGAACAAACATACGCGCGCACGCACATACACAAGGAAATCTTTACTGGAAAATATCGCTGGTTTTTTTGTTTGATCGTTGTGAGAATGAGTCTGGCGAAACATATAAGGACATTTTTTATCACCTTTAGTTTAACACTTGGCCTTTTTTTGTTCGACCACATGCAGTTCTGTAGAGTACATGGACTATCCATGTCGCACCACCTGCACTTCTACATGGATTATCCATGTCGCACCACATGCAGCTCTGCATGGATTATCCATGACTCACCGCTGGGTTTATGGTCAGACACCAGGTGCCACAAACCATCAGACACACACACACACACACACACAAGCTTGGCTACAGCGGACCACATGTTGAGATTGAGATCTTTAACATCAGTTCGCTAGAATAGTTAAACCTTAAATACGCGTAAAGTAAATTTTAAAATAAAAACGTCCAATATAACAAGTGCATCTTTCTATATAAAAACAATTGGTTGCCATCTTGGTTTTCAGCAATGTTTTGACTTTTTGTTTGTTCCCAATAAAACCTGGCAAGTTTAACAGCTGTTAGAAATTTAAAAATGGTGAATGTGAAAAGCGATGAAAAAAAAACACGACACGAATGAATACACTAGGATGTAAACAAACACACAAGGCACTTTACATGCTAGCCTATAAATAGATGTCACACAAGTTTGAAAGGCGGTTTTTTTTATATGACAGCGGGAATTCCCGTATATTGAAAAATAAAAATATTTTATTTTAGACATAGGAACACAAAAGCGATTTTTTTTTCTATAAAAGAACATACGCTTACACAAGGAAATGGAGTGGTAGGGTGAGACCGATAATATACGACAATTATTTAAAAAAAAATAGTTTTCGTGTTTAAAAAAAAAGGCTAGATGACGATTGAGTAATCAGTTTTGTAAGAAAACACTTGATTATAGGATCTAACTTTTATGAGACCTACTTTATTACATTCATTTTTTTTCAATTGTTTAGATTTAGATTTACCATTAAGGTGAACCCTTTGTTGAGATGACACCAGTCAGAAGTATAGCGACACAGGGCTACAAACTTTAGGCTACAAGATATGATTTTCTTTTGTTTATCCTTACTGTCTAGGTTAAACCCTTACATTTCCATCAATCTTTAAAAAAATGGTCAATAGTATTAATATCCAGCGAGAGAAAATACAACACCAGTTCAGGTGGGAAAGTTGTTAGTGGCAGGAGTTAATAGCTTGGTCCAACTTTAGTTGTTGGGATCTTTGGAACAATTCAAATACAGTAGGCCATCCGGGGCATATATCATATTGTGGCCATATATCATATTGTGGCCATATATAATATTGTGGCCACATATCATATAGTGGCCATATATCATATTGTGGCCAAAATACATCATATTATGGCCATATATCATATTGTGGCCATATATCATGTTGTGGCCATATATCATATTGTGGCCAAAATACATCATATTGTGGCCATATATAATATTGTGGCCACATATATTGTGGCCAAAATACATCATGTTGTGGCCATATATCATATTGTGGCCATATATCATATTGTGGCCATATATCATATTGAGGCCATATATCATATTGTGGCCATATATCATATTGTGGCCAAAATACATCATATTATGGCCATATATCATATTGTGGCCAAAATACATCATATTGTGGCCAAAATACATCATATTGTGGCCATATATCATATTGTGGCCATATATCATATTGTGGCCATATATCATATTGTGGCCATATATCATATTGTGGCCATATATCATATTGTGTCCATATATCATATTGTGGCCATATATCATATTGTGGCCATATATCATATTGTGGCCAAAATACATCATATTGTGGCCAACATACATCATATTGTGGCCATATATCATATTGTAGCCATATATCATATTGTGTCCACATATCATATTGTGGCCATATATCACCAGTGTTTCTTCCAGACTTTTTCCTCCGGGGGGGCACTTGAAATCTTCGGGGGGGGGGGGGCGGGTAAACTTTCTTCGGGGGGGGGGGGCGGACACTGTTAAAAGTATATATTTTCTATATAAATTATATAAATTTTCATTTCGTTCGGGGGGGGGGGGGGGGGGGCGGTAAAAATTTTTCGGGGGGGCTTCGTACCCCCCCGAAGAGATGCCTGGAAGAAACAATGTATATCACATTGTTTGGTTGTATGGTGGACGAACAATATCACAGGCAGTCAAATAGTCGAAGTCGTTAGGTTGTTGTCAGAAGCTGTCATTGGTGTCAGTTATCGCTTGAGCTGTTGGCACATTAGTTTAGTCGAAACATCCTACAACTAATTAGTTAAATCTAAAGTTCTACAACTAATTAGTCAAGGCGAAACATCCTACAACTAATTAGTCCAATTAAAACATCCTACAACTAATTAGTCCAGTTAAAACATCCTACAACTAATTAGTCCAATTAAAACATCTTACAACTAATGAGTGCAGTTAAAACATCCTACAACTAATTAGTCAAGTCGAAACATCCCACAACTAAACCTATATCAGCCACACTAAAACACATCATATATGTGTAGCCTACACATCTCAGTCACCTGACAAAAGCCACCATAAAGCTAATGTTATGTAACATACAATAATACTTACTACATGCCCTGAAAAATGTTCCCATACTAGAACTGACCCTTGGCCTTTGTCGTCATATGACCTGTTTAAGGTCAAAGCAACTGTAAAAAAATGTTCCTTCAAAAAAATAATTGCCGTGTTGTGATGTAAACATAATAGTCACGTGATGTTGCGTCATATGACACATGGATGCAAATAGATCGTCTTTAGGGTGATACAACGTATAGCTGTGTTAAAGTTTTTCTGGTCTAAACCTAAACGCAGGGGACTGACTAGAAACTGCCAACATCTTTTAAATACTACAATACTGAAGAGTAAAACATAACGAATTCAACCATTTGTTTTAGATTTTGTGTGTTGTAATTTTTTCTATGACGGTAAAGTTCCACATAGAGCACGGTGGCAGTCCTGT